TCTTCCGCATTGAGAACGTAGTTTCGGTCAGGTTAGCCAAGAGTATCCACGAGCTACCTTTGGTGGCTTACGCTGACACTTGCACATTGGTCCACTATGACAACGATGGGGATCCAGGATTTCACGGTTGAAGCAGAAGGCACTGCTCTCAACATCCACGATATAATTGGGTCAGCACATTCAAGAACCATCCGGTGATTAAGTCCGCCAAACCTCAAGCGGGCTTTGACCAGGATATAACAAAGTTTGAGGAATTGGCGGATGCACCGACGCCGGACGGAACCGGAAGAGAAGCCCCATAAACCGAACCACCTCAGAAGGATGGGCGGTTCCCCACGATATATGAGGAATCGGAGGCTGACCTCGAGGCACACATTATGGAAGTGTGGTGTACAGAACTACAAGATGAAAGGGAACTGGAGGCAACTCCACTAGAGGATCTTTTCACAGTACCCACACATCTGATTCCAGACAACGGTGTGCTGATCACTGTAGCTGAAGAACAGCGGGGACACATGCCTAAGTGGGGACACCCACACGACTCTGACATCGAGGGGGCGTATCATGTCTCACTGTGCTCCACGGTCGAAGATTGCAGTTACGGACTGGACTCAGACGAAAATGGACAATAGGTAGAAGTCTGCTTTACGGCAGAAGTGTCACAGGTAGTGTTGTCCGAACAACAGCGGAGGAGATTAGATGCCGACCGTGTGACCACCATGCGAGTATATGTTGCCGCCGCTGCCAAGCGAGCTGCGGTCGTCAAGGAAGACGACTTCCTCGCGAAGGCTGACATCCAGGGAAATCCCGATAAAGTCTCGAACGCCCTATACACTGAACTCAAGACACGGTTGGGCAACAAGTGCATCAAAATGCCAGATATATCTAAAGCGTCAAACATCATGACTTCGAGATATGCGCACACATGGGAGTTTGTGAAGAACGAGAAGGCGATGTGGAACGTGCCATCAGATTGCGCTTGGTTGTTTGAGACTTCGCGGGCCTCGAAGCCTGCGGCGCGGGAACTTATTCGGCAACGGCGCGGCGGTCAATCCAGAGACTACTCGCGAGCGCGGCAGCGTGCAAGAAGCAATGGCTCAGTGCTTCCCTCGACATCAACATGGCCTTCCTGGAAGGGTTAACCTACCAGGAACTTGCTGGGGCAACTGGTGGAAAGGAAAGTGTGGCGTGTTTTACTCTGCCGCCTGAAGCAACCCTCCCAGGGTTCGAACGCCGCGACGAGTCGAAGCACTGCTTGCAATGCCCTAATCAAGCCAGGCACAGGCACCAAGGACGCACCTCGAGCTTTCTCACTAAAGCTCAGAAGGACCACGGGAGGTTTTGGTCTCAGACCCACGTCCGACGACGAGGAGTTCGAGACGAGCAGCAACCTGCTCACGGCCAAACATGTTGATGACATCAATATGGCCTGCGCAGGGGGGCACCGTTGACAAGTGCGTCGAGTGCGTAGAAGACACCTTTGGTAAGTGTAAACTCGACAAGCACACGTTCACCAATAGTGCTGTGAGATCTACCAAGGATGAGGACGGCAGTGTTACTTCGGACCAAGACGAATACGTCACACAGCTCCGCCCTATACAACTTCCTGAACTTACAGGTGCCGACGCTGGCGCCCAAGCATCCAAGATGGTTCCAGACATGTTGGCTAGCCTTAGAGGCGCATTGGCGTATGCATTCATCACCCAGGTGTGGTTGATGGTGTATGTTGTTTCTTTACAACGTGTCCAATAACCGACCTAAATACAAGTGCGACGATTGAGCACGATTACCAGGAAACTGCAGGCCTGCCCTAAGAAGATCGTCTACCAGGCGATGACCCCCGCGGGCGAGTTTGACCTGCACAGCGACTCAGGTTACCGACGCCTGAGTGGAGATGCCGATGGCGAAGTCAACGGCCATGGCATTCGCGGGGCAAACCTGCGACGGCGTGGAAGCACGCCATCCGGTAAGCCCGTCGTTCACTTGATCGATGCGCACTGCAAGCCTCGCCGCTTGCAGGCCCGCTCGAGCTATTCCGCAGAGACACTAGCGGACTGTCATCCCGCGATCGTGACTCTGCACGAGCTCCACGCAGGGCCGCTAACCCCCGTTCAGTTGAAAGACATACTTGAGTTGGGTGGCTTGCGCATTAAGGTCACTTTGACCATAGATCCCGAGTCTGTTTTTAAGTTCTTGTCAGGCAACGATTTGAAGAAGCCGACTGGGTGTACCTTTTTAGGACACATCAGCTGGATACGACAGATGATGGAACGAGGAATCGTGCACAGTATTCAGTGGTGCGACACCCGCGATATGACTGCGGACGGTCACGCCAAGGGGAGCATCGACAGAGAAATGCTCCTTCATATCATGGGAGGTACACAATCCTTCAAACATGACTTGAAGCGTCATACTCCCCGATTGACCAGACATCTCGTTCTGTAGCCGCTTGAGGAGTACTCGTATGCACCGTATAGTGCAGGCAAGGCAACTTGCGTGCGGGTCCACCTTCCTTACGGCCCTGCCCTTTTGCTGTCCCTTTTGTATATAATTGATGCTGTACTTGCTGTATAGAGGCGGTGGATTCACGCTTCGTCTCCCTCCCCCCGAGTCTAAATTGAGCTGGGTGTTGCATGTGAGTGGGAACGAGCGTGCAACCGCGGCTGCGTGACTCAAAGCGGCCGGCCGCCCAGATCTGACTATACCTCAGCGCGAGGTGTAAAACTGCTTGAGATGGCTCGCCCCCAACTGCTGGGACTATCGCTACTACGGTACAACAGAGCGGGAGCTGGGCTTCGCCTAAGGCGAAGCTGCTGGTTGGGCCCCCCGACCCATTTCAAACTGTAGGAGCATCAGGAGGAGAAGGAGGACGAGGAGGACGAGGAGGATGAACGCGAAGAGGAGGAGGAGGATGAGGAGGAAGAAAAGGAGGAGGAGGATGAGGAGGAGGAGGAGGAAAAAGCGGAGACGGAGGCACACGCCGCCGTCGTGTTCCAGCCTCAGCGGCCACAGGTCGCCATTCGCCCCCGCTCGGGAATGCCGAGGGCTGCCGTGGATAAGGTAGCCACGCTGCGCTGCGCTGCCGCGCACACGGTCACACGATGCGTGGATGGGGTGGGTAGGATGCCAGATGTGGCACGAGCGCTCCCAGCTTGCATCCTTCCTGTCTCCCCTTTCCCCTCCCTCCGCGCAACTCCTCGCGTGCTGTTCTTGTTGCGCTGCATTGAGGCACCCGTCGCTTGGGCGGCTGCTACCATTCGACGCTGCAGCCTGCAGCGACACCCATCTTGCGGAGGGGCAGGTGCAGTCAAGACGCTGACATGATGGCCATCTTGACCTCGGGAGGTGCTCTGGTTTTCGGGACGTTCCTGAGCTCTTGGCCCTGGAACCTCTTCGTGGCCGAGGCTCGCCGTGGCCAGAGGAGTCCCTCCGCTCACTTTTCAGTTTTTCAGCGTTCCTTCTGGTAGTACGATGGCTGTACGTGCTTGCCACCGCAGTGGGGAGTGAGGAGGAGGGGGAAGAGGAGGTGGAGGATGGAACCAGCTGGGGGAATGAGGTGGCCTAGAGTTGGTTTACGGTGTACGGGAGCCGCTTTCGGGCCCTGGGACCGCCCGGAATCGATCCGGAGTGAAAAATTAGTCTTGGTTGGCCCTGGGAGGGGTCCGGAGACGAATTTTGAACGGATTTGCCTCTCCCTCTTGACACCTTCTCTTGGGGCCCATCCAGCGCAGACCCACTGGCCACTTCCATGCTGAAGGATGGACGGCAGGGCCGTTAGAGGGGGATCGACTTCGGGGGGGAAGCATCGACCCCCAATCGCGCAGTGATCGCCGAAAGAGGCCCGAGAGCCCGCCCGGCCCAGGGACGTGCGGTTTCGCCTTCGGGGGCCCATCGTCGTTCTACCGGCGCTCTATCAACGATTCCAGGTCGATGTTTCCCCCCGAGCCGGTGCCCCTTAACGTTCCCCTTCGGCTGGGGGGGGGCAAGGGGGGGCGTGGAGCCGAACGGGTTACAAGGAGGGCGCATCCTGGGACTTCCAAGTCTGTCTCACAATCTGTTCGGAAGAGAATCGGAGGGGTTCTTAGCCCAAGCCCGACGCAAGTCAGTCTCGATGCTGGGGGAGGAGGCGGAGTGTGTTCTTTCGTGGGGAGCGGCAGCCAGCAACAACCGGGGGGCGCCGTGGCGCACACCAGTCACGGCATTGCGCGGTGGTGGACAGCGTGCTCGTCCTTGAGACGGTGCCTTCTTCCTGCCTTCTCCGCCCGCTACCCCCAAATAGACCACCCAGGCGAAGAGCCCCCCCCACGCAGCTGCGTGCAGCGCAGGGCGCGCCCCTCTCTTCATACGCTGCGCGCCGCCTCTCTACGCGCCAGGATCTAGCGATCTGAAGGGGTGCCTCCGAGGCTCTCGCGGAGCGTTGGATGTGGATACGTTCCGCCCTTGTTCATGTGAGTGACGCTGGGGGGCGTTTCTCTTCGTTCTCACGATCTCGGTTCCCGACCAAAGCGGGAAAGCACGGCAGCCCAAGACAGGAACAACGACGCACATACCCTACGGCGAGACGAGGAGGCCAAACGAGAAGCACATTGCCTCAAAATTGGAAAATGAGGGCGACCTAGAAGGTGGTCAAGAAGCCCCCAGTTTTCTTAACATCAATTGACGTCCCGCCCCCACGGAGCAGGAAGGTATCTGTGTCCAAGTCTTCGATCCGATGCATTTGGACACATCCTGGGCGTGGGCCTTGTGCTTTAAGAAGTCACGAGCAGGTGCAAGCCCGCGTGCCCTGACCTGCCCCCATCCAGTTGTGCACGTTGGCGTGTTCTAACCCCCAGTGGGAAAAAAACGACGGCGGCCTTCGCATATGGAGCTTCAGATCTCGGCATCTTGGCTGCCTCGGTCATTGCACTGCACTCCTCTTCCTTTCCTCCTCATCATATATTTTGGCCGAGGGTGGCGCGGGGGGGAGGGACAGCATTTTCTGACGAGCCCGGCACCTCGAGGTCCCGGAGTCGCGCGTCCGCGTGGAGGTTGACACGGCACGACGCCTGCGAGTGCAGGCGGCTTGGGTTGATAGAATCCTCAGATCAGTTGGCTGGCCCTTAGGACACTGGCGTGCCGTCGGATGGCAGACCATCGAGCGTTCATCCATGAGCATAGCATGTTTGATCAGATTTACTCGGTAAGCGTCGCGGTGTGGGTTCCGTTTTGGGGTGGGTGGGTGCGGCCAGGAGCTTTTCCCTCGCGTGTCGCGCCACTGGTTCTGGACCACCACGCTTGCGCGCGACACGCTGACCGAGCTCCAATTCCCAGCCGTCAACGCTCCGAGCTGTTCCCGGCCTCCCATCTCAGGGAGCGGAACAACACGTTATCAGCTCGTTGCGCATGGCGTGCCGCAGGGGTTGCCACGCGGCACGCTAAGCAACACTTTATCACCGTATGCATGGGCTGTCCTTCTCGGGGCGTGGTGGGCTGGTTCGGTGGGATGACGCGGAACTGGGGGGGGGGTCTGAATAAACAAGTCGGAGCCCGTGGACAGGTACCCACCGCTCGCTGTAAGTAGGTATGTGTGTTGGCTTCCGATGTTCCCATCTTCTCGAGGTGCCTTCCCACAACGAGAGCCTACTCGTCTCGGAGTGTGGCGGGCGGCTCGAAGAATGTATGCGTACACATTCGGCGATGCTTAAGAAAACCTAAATGTTCGTCCAGAGTCTCGATTATTCTTAACGTTTCAATGTAAATTCTAAGTTTTTAATAGCAAGGTTGGGTTTTTATTCAAGTTCTGAGACTATGAATTTCTTAACCCATGATTTCTTAAGCATTTCGCAGGGTGTATCTGCGCATGGGCCCCGAGCTGCAGCCAGCAGACATTGAGTATGTGCCCAGTTCGAAGGGTGGCCTGGTCCCAACTGCCCCCGTCGACCGATGCAATGCCCAGAAGAGGCAAACCACGGCCCCGTAACATCCAAGAGGCATTGGGAGATCACTTCCGGGCGTTGGCCCATATTTATGTCTCAATCCTCCCGTGTTGGGTTCTCGTGTGGGTTCTCGGTTTGCATAGAGCACTGCGGTCACAACTCCTTCCTCTTCTCCCCCCCCTTCCTCCTGCCTCCTGCGCTGCTCCCTGGGTGGCTGCGAACTGTGCACCTGCCGCCACGTTCGTGGGCTCCCGAGAGGCGTACCGTAGTAAACGCACGCAGGCGGGACGTTGCAGCTCCCTGGATGGCTGAGAACTGCGCATCTGTCACCACTGTCGCGGGCTCCTGGGGGGCGCGGCGGAGTAGCGCAGTACGCGCCCCCAGACGGGACTTCGTAGCTCCGTGGGTGGTTGCGCATTGCGCATCTGTCGCCACGTTCGTGGGCCTCTGGGAGGTCTAGAGGAGTAGGGGAGTACGCGCTCCCAGATGGGACCTCGCAGCTCCCTGGGTGGCTGCGAACTGTGCAGTGGACGCCACTCTCGTGGGGTCCTGGAAGATTTAGCGGTGTCGGAGAGTACGCGCACCCAGACGGGACGTCGACGCCATGTTCGTGGACGCCACTTTCGTGGGAGTCGGGGGGTACGCGCACCCAGACGAGACCTCGCAGCTCCTTGGGTGGCTGCAAACTGCGCGTCTGTCGCCACGTGCGTGGGCTCCTGAGAACCACGGCGGGATAGCAGAGTACGTGCATCCAGCCGGGACCTCGCAGCTCCCTTGGGTAGTTGCGAATTGCGCAGTTATCGCCACGTTCCTTGGGCTCCTGAGAGGCACGGCGGGGTAGCAGAGTGCACGCACCCAGACGGGACCCCGCAGCTCCGTGGGTGGTTGCGAGTTGCTCAATTGCTGCCACTTTCGTGAGTTCCTTGGAGGCACGGCGGAGTAGCGGAGTACGCGCACCCAGACGGGACTTCGCAGCTACGTTGGTGGCTGCGAATTGCCCAATTGCGGCGCAGTCGGTGGCCACGCGCACCCAACCGAGACCTCGCTGCTCCCTGGGTGGTTGCGAGCTGCCCAATTGGCGCCACGCCCGTGGGCTCTTGGCAGGCACGGCAGAGTAGCCGAGTACGCGCTCCCAGACGGGACTTCGCAGCCCCATTGGGTGGTTGCGCATTGCGCAAATGTCGCCACTCCCGTAGGCTCCTGGAAGGCGCGGCGGAGAAGCGCAGTACGCTCTTTGGGTGGCTGCAAATTGCGCAATTGTCGCCACGTTCGTTGGGGTCTTGGAGGGCACGGCAAAGTATGGGAGTACGCGATCCCAGACGGGACCTCGCAGCTCCTTGGGTTGTCGCGAGTTGCGCAAGTGGCGCCATTTTCATTGGCTCCTGTGAGGCACGGCGGATGCGGTGGTCACGCGCACCCAGCCGAGATCTCGTTGCCCCCATGGGTGTCTACGAATGTGCAGCTGGCGCCACAATCAAAGGCTCCTGGGGGGGCGATGCGGAGTCGGGGAGCACGCGCACGCAGACGGGACCTCTCTGTACCTTGGGGGCTGCGAATTGCGAAATTGTTTTAATGTTCATTGGTCCCTGGGAGGGCAAACGGAGCCAAGGGCCACGCGCACCCAGACGAAACCTCGCTGCCCCCTGGGTGGCCGCGACCGGCGCAACTATCACCATGTTCGTGGGCTCCTGGGAGGTCCAGCGGAGTCAGTGGTTACGCGCACCAAGACGAGACCTCGCTGCTCCCTGGCAGGTTGCGAGCTGCGAGAAGGGGTTGGGTACGTCTCGGGTAACTAATTGTTTAACTGTTAGAACTGCGTGCATTCCCACCAGTCCGTCAAACAACTACGCCCAGGCAAGTTGCATTGATCAGGGAAATGGGGGAGCATGCATTGAAACAGAGAGCTTAGACAGCCAGTCACATCGAAATGTTGAACCAGCCTGGGTAGAACCAACGGACGGGCGGAGAACAAGGATGAGGCGGGAGGGGGTAGAGGAGGAGGAAGAGGAGGACGAAGGGTGAGGAAGTAGAAGCAGGATGAGGAGAACGAGGACGAAGGCGAACACAAGGACTATTGGATCGATAGAGCACAGTATGCCTCAACTCCTGGTGAACCCCATGTGGGATGTGGAGGAGGAAGAGGATGATAATAATGATGAGGAGGTGGCGGGAAGAGAAGGAGGAAGATGGGGCGCCACGGATAAGGGTTGCCTCTGTCGGGCTCGAAACGTCTCCTCTGGGAGCCCTCTTGGGAGTGATCCTGGTGCACTATTGGTGGCTCGTGGGGCCGTCTCGGAGCCATTTGGGGAGCCTTCCTGGCTCTCGCGTTGCTCTCATGGCCCCTAATAGCAAGAACGGGTCGGCGCCGACAAAATGAGGAACGTAGTGTGACACGCTGCGCCAATTCATACGACAATCGCATGCAATGTGAACAATTTGCATTGCTGACGCTTCTTGTAATAGTCGGTTATGGTCTTCATATCGGTTCCTGTGCGCGCTGTTTGTCTGCGCCTGATTCTCGCTGGTTCCCCAGGACATTGCAACGAATTCACAGCCAGATTCCTCTGTGAGATTCGCGCCCGATTCCCGGTGGATTGTTTAGGATTTTGCGATTCGGCGTGTCATCGTTCAATGTTTTGCCAGTTCGCTTGTACTTCTAGCCAATTTAGCGAGCAATTGCGCCAGAGAGTGAGGATCGCGTTATCAGTTGTACCATTTAGTGGTTTTGTTATAAGCGGATGTGGTGGAATCAAACGCGTTTTGAGGCGGACCCCGCAGTGGACCGATGCTTTCGATTGCAGTGCAACTTGCCGACGAGCAGTGTCATGTATTGGCGTAGTTCGTTGATGGGAACGTCTGAAGATCGCGGAGCACTTATTGTGCGAGTTCGTGCGGTGAATGTGTTTCTTTGCTCCGCTTCGTCTGGTCGCTTTAACTTTCTTGTTGCTGCGTTCGTTTGAGCTGCGTTGCTGCGACTTGAGCCATTACGGGGCCTGATTTTGCCAGAGGATGCAGGCAGCTTCCGTGGGGAACTGCGCTCAAACCCGCGGAGAACTCGAGGTCTTCCCACCAATCCGCCAGGTTTGGCTAAAGTAGAGCAGGGCAAAAGGATCGTTGGTCCAATAGTTGCGGAGGGCCAGGCCCGGGTAGGCGCGGGGGACGCAGCCGCCGCAGGGTGCCGCCGCCACTTCTACGAGAACGGCGGGTCGACGCCTGGACGTCGGCACGGTGATCGTTCAGTACACCATCCTGCCTGGCAACAAGGCCCGTGGGGGGAGGGCCACTGAGGAAGCTTGCCCCCATCCCCTTCGACAATGTCCCGCACTCGCGGGGAGGTGGCATGTCCGCTGCCTTGCTTCCCAGGAGAGCAGCGTGCACGGACGCACGGGGATACTTCTCGTTCATGCTCCGACTGTGCGAAAAGGTGGCCTCCTCGCTGCTTCGGGGGACGCTAGCCCGACCTTGGCAAAAAAAGCAAGGGGATCGGAGAAGTGCAAAGACACATTAGCACCACTCCTTAGGAGTGGTGCCAGATCACACCAGGTGGCCCTGCCTAGGAGCCCCTGGTGTGATCTGGCTCTGCAGGGTGCGTCGCAGAAGGTTCCCGCAAGGCGCCACGACTGCCCACTCTTCTGCCCACTCTGGCCTGAGAGGCTTGGGGTTGCGTGGCGGGTGGACTGGTCTGGTGGAGTCTGCGTGCGGAACCACGTACGCCTGAGGGGTTTTCTGAAGGTTCTGGTGTCGGACCTTTTTCTGATGATCCAGCTCAGAGCTGGTCCGAGCACGACGGTCAGCCGCGTGCACATCATGATTGCCTGCATTCTACTCTGCAGCTGCCCAAGGGACATTTTTGAGCCGAGTCTTGTCGCTCATCGTGCTTGTCTTCCTGCCGGCCTACTTCGGAGCTGCTGGGCACTTAATCCATACGGGCCCATCAGCTGCCTCTTAGCTGGTTCTCGGCCGCCTCACGGCCGTCCAGTCGTAATTCCGCTGGCGCGGCGCAGCTACCACATGGCTTCTTCCGTTGTCAGAACTCGTTGGTGTTTTTGCAGAGGAAGGTCGGGGCGGCTACTGAAGAGGAGGAGAAGGATAATGAGATGCATGCCCTTCCAGTATCAAGGGTAGCACCCCTCACAGCTGCCTTGCAGTGTCTATAGTCGCGTTGCCTTCGTTGCGCCAAAGCCATGCGATTGCTACCCATTCTGCATTTCCAGAACAATATGGATGTACCTCACGGCTGTCCATGCTCCGCTCCAGCATAACGCGTTCTTTCAGGGCACGCCTGCGCCCTATCGCGTTGCGTTCTGGGCCTGTTCGGTCAGCCATGTCATGCCGTTGTGAAGTTTTGGTTGTGTTGGTTCTGGAAGCAGTCTCGCAGCATGGGGCCATCGTGCTTACAGTGTCGCCGATTCTGGGCGTCAGCCTTACAGTCAGAGTCGCAGTGAATGTTGTTCTCGGCGCTCTCGGCGTCACCGTGATCGGTTCGGGGCGCTGGACCGGAATGGTGCGGCAGGCGGAGGTCTTACAACGTTGGGCGATGTTGGCTTTTGATTACGGTAGGTTTGCGTCGTGTCGACTCGCGGCGACCCCAGCGCGGGCGTTCAAGGTTGAACGCGGCCGGCGACCCAGAATCGACCGATGTTGAACGATCGGACGTTGCGGCAGCGGCAGATCATTCAAGGTTGAACGATCCCTGCGGTGTCAAGAACCAACGCTGGGGTCGGCACGACACGAACCTGCCGTACCCCCCACCCCAGCCCAGAGTGGACGCGCGCCTTTCCTCAGTAGGAAGGGCAAAGCAGCAGTAACGGGCTGTCGGTCGGCAGCACCTCGTGAGATGCCCGCGGTGCGGCTACCGCGAATGGCCCCAGGCTGTTGCTCACATGACCTCGCCAGAGAGCCATTACCCGACACGCACCCAACCCCTTCCCAACACGAGTCGAATCTTTGAATGAACGCTCCATACATCAACACATCGCCAGATGTGCGTGATCTGCGCTGCCCTCATTTTCGCTGTGCCTCCCACGAGCTTGCGAAAGTGGTGACGGTTGCGCAGTTCGCAGCCACCTAGGGAGCAGCGAGGTCTCGGCTGGATCCGCGTGGCCCCCGACTCCGCTGGACCTCCCAGTGCCCCACGAAAATGGCGACATTTTCGCAGGTCACCGCATTCCAGGGAGTAGCGAGGTCTCGGCTGGGTGCACTCCGGAGGGGAAGAAACACACAGACACAATTAATCGTCGATTCCCAGGAAAATATGCGAAAATATGGGAAGTGGTGGGGAAGACAAAAGCCCAGAAAATATGGGAAAATATGGGGAATAGTTTTATTTGCGTGTATTTCTTTGTGTGTCCCAGGGCCCCGTTATGCACATACTCCCCGACACCGCCGTGCCTCCCGGGAGCCCAATGAAGGTGGTGGCAGCTGCGCAGCTCGCGGCCACCAAGGGGAGCAGCGAAGTCTCGGCGCGGTAGGCGTATCCCAAAAAAACGAAGGACTGCAAAAAAACGAAGGATTGCAAAAAAACGAAGGATTGCAAAAAAACGAAGGTTTTTTTTTGCAATCCTTCGGTTTTTTTGCAAGGTTTTTTTGCAAGACTCCGCTGGACCTGCCGGTTGCACACGAACGTGGCGACGGTGGCGCAGTTCGCAGCCTCCAGGGAGCAGCGAGGTCTCGCTTGGGTGCGCGTGGCCCCCGGCTCCGCTGGATCTCCCGAGTGCCCACGTCAGAGCCCACGAAAGTGGCGACATTCGAGCAGTTCGCAACCACCCAAGGAGCAGCGAGGTCTCGTCTGGAAGCGCGTGGCCCCCGACTCCGCTGGACTCCCGAAGAACCCGCGAAAGTGGCGACAGTTGTGCGGTTCGCAGCCACGCAGGGAGTTGCGAGGTCCCGCCTGGATCCGCGTACTCCGCTACTCCGCCGTGCCTCCCAGCAGTCCAATTGAGTGGCGCAAGTTCGACAGTTGCACACTCCGCTGGTCGGAGCCACTCAGCGAGTTGCGAGGTCCCGTCTGGATTTGCGTTCTCCGCTACTTCGCCGTGCATCCCATGAGCCCACGAGAGTGGCGACGGTTGCGCAGTTCGTAGCCGCCCAAGGAGCAGCGAGGTCCTTTCGGGGTGTGCGTATTCCGCTAGAGACTGTTTCTTTGGGGTCCGGCGAGAACCCGGGTTATCGGGCTCGCACCGCCCCCCCCGAGGATCACCCAACCTAGCCAGTTGTGCATTTCCAGGGGGGGGCGCAGGGAGCTCGTAGGGAGCGTTGTGTTCAACGGCGCGTGGTGTTCGCCACATCAGCATGCTGGTGTTTGTATGCACGTTGGCGAATCGTTGGGGCTTGGAGTGGCACGTGGAGACGACGACGACGACGACGACGACGACGACGGCGACGACGACGACGACCACGACCACGACCACGACGACGACGACAGACGACGACGACAGACGACGACGACAGACGACAGACGACAACAGACGACGATGAATGACGACCACGACGACGACGACGACGACGGCGACGACGGCGACGACGACGACGGCGGCAGACGACCGACGACCGAGGACGACCGACGTCGTCCATAGATACTGGGGGAGCACGTGAGCAGCGCGTACACAGGTATCTCGTTGTGCACAGGCAGCAAAGCGGTTTGGTGCGCGCAGGTGCTGCTGTTGCAGCAGGATCTGTTGTGCACGCAGGAGTTGTAGCGCACGCAAGCATAAGTGTATGCAGGTCGCGCGGTGCACGCGGGCACCGTGATGCACCAGGCAACTCGGTGAAGACAGGCCTTGTGGTGTGCACGACTGTTGCTGCAACATCAGTTATCATTTACGGAGGCATCCCAGGCATAGTGATGTACAGAAGCACTGCGGCGCACAGTTATTGCGGTGTACCACACCTCGTGGTGTACACAAGCGCTGCGGTTTACACATCCGTTGCTGTGCACATACTCGCTATACACATGCGTTGTGGGCCCAAAAGACGGGACCGTTCCCTGCGCAAGAAAAACAAATAATTACACGTAGCTTACATATTGGATTGGATACGTTCGGATCCCCCGCGATTTTCTGGAGTTCGGTCCCGCCGGGGGCCCTGGAAGTGTACGCAGCCCTGTGGTGTACACAAGCAATTCTTCACGCTTCACGTATCCCCACCAGCCGGGCTTTTCCTTGCCCTCTGGACTTTTCCTTGCGGGCCGCAAATAAAAAAAAATATCCCCACCAGCCAGCGACTGCGTAGCGCGCCCCGGTCGTTGTGGCCCCCTCTTAGGCCGTAATTGAGATCGTTGCGTTGTTCTTTCGCTTCTTGACGGCGCGCAGTTGCCCTGTGTCGCTCGCGAACAAAAAAGTATCCCCACCAGCCCAGTCAGAAGCCATGCCCATGAGAGCTAGAGAAGAAGAGACACATATAGTGAAACAAAGCATGATGGGACTATTGCAGGAACACCAGAACACGCAATCAAATGGCAGGTTTAATTACAACTGGAACCCTCTTAGGGTTTTGTTGGGGGTCTTGGGGTCCTCTTGGGGCTCTTCTGGGGCGTCTTAGCGCCCTCATGGGGCCCTCTTGGGGCTTTTGTGGGGCTCTCTTGGCGTTCTCTTGGGGCCTTCTTGGGGCCGTCTTTGAGTCGATCAAAGGAGGGGGGGTCCTCGATTTCCCTCCCCGTTCTGGGGCCATCAGAATCGCCTTTGGGGGCCCTCTCGGGGCCCTGTTGGGGCGCTCTTGGGGCGATCTTGGGCGCTCTTGGGGTCGTCTTGGGGGCACTTTGGGCCCCTCTTGGAGTTTTCATGGGCCACCTTGGGACCATGTTGAGGCTTCAAAAGCGCATCGTGAGCGAAAAGCGAGAAGGCACAAATCATTGATGTTCCATAGGTTTTGAAGAATTTTGGCTTCTCGGGGGGGCCCGAGAGAGCCCTGAGAGCACCTGGAACCGTTTTGTTGCCCTCTTGGGGCCTCTTGGAAGCATGTTGCTAGTTTTCTTGAGCCATGTTGGACTATCTTGACTGATCTTGGAGGCTAGATTGGGTTTCTGAAGCCATCGTGGAGCCACTTTGACTTGAAATGGGCCCTCTGCCACCTCGCAGCCCCCCCCTGTCCATATCCAGGGGAGGGGGGAGGGGGAGGGGTCAAGAGTCTCCCTCCCCGCCCGCAAGCCGTTTCGCTCACTCCCACCCGCCCTCCCCGCACACACGTAGCACCCGAGCCTGGCCCGAGCCACGGCATATGCAGCAGTCGTTTTTG